GACCACTGCGTCATTGACTTCGCATTAAGCACGATTGAATCGCCATTTAAACGCTCAGCTGCATTCGATTGTGAATAATGCTCTGATTGCCCGATTGCTTCGAGAAGAGACAGGAACTTTTCTGTTAACTCCACTTGATAACCCCTCGACTAGGATCTCGCTCTAAGTTAGTCACAGAAATCATTAACTTTTTGAACGGTATTTTGATTGCTGATGTGTAGTAAGGGATTTCGATTTTCATGTAGCTTGAACATCACCTACATTTGATTACAGCTGTCACATTCTCATAGATTTCTCACTTGGGCCGTTTCGAAAAGAAGCACTAGACTCGAGTTTTGCTCTTGGTGAAGCAGCTCGTCAGTAGTGCATATCCTTGTCAAGGCTGGGACTAGATTTCTGACTATGTTTTCATGAAGCACCATTGATCTCACATTGAGCACGACTAAATTATCATATGTGTACGCTCAGCCACATTCACCTGTAAGTAGTGCCAAGGTTGTCCCTTCACCTCTAAATGAGACAACTACTACTACTAGTTGAGTGCACAGAAATCATCAAATATGTTGAGTCACATTTTCATTACTGGTAAGTGGTGGCTGAAATAAATTACCTTGTCATTTATGAAATATGGACTTCATGTTCATTTAAATAATTGTTCCCGCTTTCATGTGACACTCAAAGTCACAGTAGAGTAGCATTTTCGTGGATCTCTTCAGGTCGGAGATTCGGGTGAGTGTGTGTTATTGGTAGACTCTGCTATCTGTTGTTGTTGTCTTGTGTTGGCGTATCGTAATTCGTGGGTCGTGCACCATCGGCTAGGGTTTGACATATTTGGTGAGGACATTCATTCAATGTTGTTGCTCACCGACAGCAGTCTTGTGCGTAGTTAAATAGGAATTCGTCTGCACAATTTGATTAGGCACTAATTGGTTGGCTTCTTTTGATTAAAGACAACCTTATCTTGTGGTTTCGGTTGGCTTTTCAGAATCAGGACAATTTGCTTAACTGTTCGCACAATCGTTTTGTTTCCGTGGAAGGATGATTTCATGTCAGTTATCGTCCTGACTTATTGATGTAGACTCGTGGTTCACCGTGTCATTTTGTGTAACGTTGCAAGTGTCCGGTCTTCCCAGGTTTCTTGTGAAGGTTTCTATTTCTTGTGTGATGTAGAATCGATGTGCTCTGGTGTGTGATATTCGCTACATACCACACTTGCGTTTCACATGGTTGTAACCAATGAACTTCATGTTCCATGACTCAGTAGGAATCTTCAAAATAATCAAACACCACAACAACACGCTGCTATTGAAGCAGTTCAATCGATTACCAAGCATTGTAAACCGGCTTGCTAAACCAAACATTGAAATCGAATTTTTCAGTGACTGTGTACGAACAATCACGTATCCCACATGCTATCGGATAACACTGTGTAGAAGCCATATTCGTCTGTGTCACTGAAACGTCACGCCTACAGTCAGATAGACACACAAATGGACCACACAGCTAGGGAGGAATATTGCCCAACGAACACACGTACTTGATGACCTAAAAAAGAAAGAGTGCTGTTTGATAATTTTGTGAATTTAGTCGTGGATAAACGGGCAGAGATGAAACGATAGAAACTTATCTGCACGCTGAAAGACAAGAAACTGCATATGTCATTTCTTATCCAAACTAAACGATTTATCCATAACTTTCCTTCTATTTCTCTTAATACTGCGCAACTACAGGTTCTAGCATTAGGACCAAAATTTTCCATTCCACGTCGTCATTATGATCGATTAAAGCTTGAAGTGCAATGTGAGAATTTCTGTTGTTAAGTTGGTTAGTTTGTGTTATTAATACTGACATAGTCCCATTTATTTTAAAGGACCGGTAGTTGGTAGACATCATGAATCGTTATGTGCACTTTGGGATCGGCAAGATGTACTATTAACACGACCGGACAAAGGTACTGGAATAGTGTTGCCTGGCAAATCAGCAAAGTGAAAGCAGTTCCTTCAGATAGTACTAAGCGTAACCAAATGATAAAAGAATACAATAAAACATTGGCAACAGACACGCAGATAACTAGTAGTCTGAAACGATTGAAAGACGGAGAAGTCCTAAAAACTGTCCAGCATGTACTTATGAGTTCCACGGGTACTATTAGTCCTAAGCTTAACTGCCCTCTGTGCCCTATTATGGATATGAAAAATTCACCGTATCACGCCTTAGCACAATGGCTTGCTGAGATCTTGGAGCCAGTTTGGAGAAAAATGTGTGTCCATAGCCTGCAAGATACACTTGAATTCACGAATACAGTTCGTGACATTCTCGTAGACAATGAAATCGTGTGTTCTTTTGACGTAAATTCCCTGTTAACTAATGTGCCAGTGGTGGAAATAATACATTACTTATTCGATTTTATTGAAAGCGACAGCATTTTGGTCGGCTTGTCAACGGCGTATCTGAAGGAATTGCTTCTAAAATGCACCTATAGTGTGCAGTTTGTTTTCTATGGTGACATCTATAGACAAATTGATGGAGTTGCAATGGGGTCACCATTAGGATCACTGCTGGCAGATATTTTTATAGACAAGCTGAGACGAACGGTGCTGAGCACTGTTATAAGTCAGATGGTTTTCCACCGGCGCTATGGTAATGATGTATTCGCCGTCACAGACTCATCTGTCAACATAGCTGATATTTCAAAGAACTTCAACTGTGCACATCTGCTGATGAGTTTCACCTCAGAACTGGAGTCAGATGGATCTTACCACTTCTTGGACGTCTCTCTGAACAGAGGGATTGACGGAAGTTTAAAACGCCCCGTTTATCGTAATGACTGCTTGATCAGGTCAGTACAGTAATTTTTATAGTTTCACTAACCTAAAATACAAACGAAACCTGGGCAAATGTTTGGCAGATAGAGCCAAAAACATCTGCTCAGCAGATGCTTTGAAACATGAACTACAACTTGTAATCCGTACTCCACAAGAGAACGGCTAATTTGACATTATTTTATCAAGCGTATGAAGGCAGTTCAAACATCAGTTAAGATTCAACGAATTTATAAAAAGCCCATTTTCATGCGACTGTCATACAAAGGAGACAGATTGGTTTTATCACTGATCCGTCGACTTACTAGTTCCCTTAATGGAACGCTGAACTCAATGAGACCGATTATCTCATTTACCAGTTCACCGCTGACTACTCTAAATCTCAAAGATAAAGTGTCAGTCCATAACTCATGTATGGTGATTTACTTACGATTGTTCAGCAAACTACGTGAATCGTACGGCGGCATTTATCTAGAAGAATCAGACATCATCCAGCATGAATCGGGACAAGTGGGAGGAAATCAATCACAAGTGCCGATATAGGTTGCCTGACTGACAGCGATCATCAGGTCGACGTTCACCGTTATCTACAGGGTTCCGTCGAATCGGTCAAAACTCGTTAGCCATTGAATGTTGACCACTGCCATTGCCATTCGATTACGTAATCCAACTTTGTGTAGGCAGAAAAACTTCGTTTAATGAACTCTGTATTGATTTTACTGTGTTGGCTTTCTGTTGACGCCAGTTTTTGTTGATCTATCAATTACCGGTGAGGAGTTTAGGATTTTGATCTTTATATAAATTGGGCATCACCCATATTTGACTGCAGATGCCGCACTCCCGTAGACTTTGCAGTTGGCCCCATTTCGAAAAGAAGCACTAGATTCGAGTTTCGCTCTTGGTGGAGCAGCCCGTTAGTAGTTCATATTCTTGCCACGGCCGGGACTAGAACTCTGACCACGCTGTTCATGAGGCAACCGTGTCGACCACTGCGCTACTGACCTCACATTAGTCACGACCGAATTATCAGATGTGAACCCTCAACCACTTTCGCTTATGAGTAATTGTCAGGTTTCCCGGTCGCCTCGAGAGAGAAGTCCTAGTCGAGGGGTCACCGATTGGAGTTAATAGGACAGTTCGTATCGAAAGAGCGGCCTTTTCCAAGGCACGGCCATTAATTTTTGCGGCGACTGAACAGCTATAGAACAAATGGTTCCATTCTCGTCGACGAATTCCCGCTCTTGCCTGAAGACATTTTTTAAGGTTACTGAATTTGCAGTGTTGTAATTTACTAGACGGGTGAAGGACGGGTTTCGGGACTTGCACACTTCATTTGCTATAAGCAGCCATATACGTGAAACAGTTAGTGTGTATTATTCAGGCTGGTCAAGCCAATCTGTGACATCAGCAACTTTCACGTACACAACGCCGGCTAGTAGGTTTTGATAATCGCAACCCGCTGTACGTCTGAACCTTAGGGTTTTGATTGCGTAACAATACTGTGAACGAATTGGCGAGTCAGCTGACTGTGAGCATCATGAAACCTCACAAACGTAGCCTGCCGATGTGACAACCGGCACAGTTAGACTTATTGTTACTCGGATCACATTCCAGAGTTGCATTGTGTCATCGTCTGAACCAACAACTTTGATTTACTACTTGAACGTCACTCAGAACTGATCGCACTCTTCACATTCCTGTGGACCCGTTAGCCAGCACATCTCTTAAAGATGCATTTAGCTTCAAGTTTCGCTCCTGCTAGACCTCACCCGTCACAACGTTTTCATTAGGCGTGTCCGTGTTGACCTGGTCATCAGCGATTTCACATCAGTGTAATTGTCATTATGACTCGATATAAACCAGCAAATAACGTGAGAAGCCGACAGATCATACGAACACTACATCCGTATAAAGGCCGCCTGTCCTACCTATATAGTTCAGAGATCCAAGTGTGAAAACTGAAATTCGGTTGGATTCGAGTCAGCGCCAGAAACAGCATGCCCAAGCGCTTCACCAGCTGAGCTAAGAAACCACGCCGGGAGCTCGAAAATTTCACTTTTGGACTCTGTTACTCCTCTGTCCCGCTGTCTCATGGAATCCACCAAATGATCTAGAGTGTCGGCTGCCTCGGCAGGATTTTTCAAACAGACCACACTAGAATTCAACAGCTCCTGGCGTGGCTTCGTAGCTCAACGGGTAGAGCGCTTACCACTTTCGAGTGTTCTGTTCCTGTCGCTGGTTCGAATCCAGCCGAAGCCCAGAGTTTTCACAATTGGGTTTCTTCTAAATTAACTATTTTGTCAAACTGCTTGTTAGTGCTACCTGTAAATGGTTTCGAATGTTTCGTTGCTATCTTCAACTTGCTGTCGATACTTTTGGCTGGGTGTTTCCATTTAACCAGTAAAAACGTTATAACTTACCTGTTGAATATGAGGTCAGTTTATCCTTTTTGTCTCTTGTGAATATGGATAGTTTCTCCGGGTTCTCGTTTGTTGAATACCTCCTTGTTTGGAATCGTACCTACTGCGCTGACCGTTGGCATTTCGTTTGAATGTATGCTGGTTACGCCGCGTTTTGACGCGGCTGGTGCAGAGTTGACAAAGTGTGACTAGTATTCACAGGCAGTCTGTTTGTTCTAAACTGTCTGTCACAACACGTCATCAGCGTTCTTAATGAGTAAAATGTCCGAAAATATAAGACTGTTGTTATGCTGCACTTCATGTGACACAATGAGATTATGCTGAATGTTAAAACGACTAAAAAACAATGAAAGATGTGTTATTCATGAAGAGAAGAACCTCGTCTATG